GTTCTTTAAATTAATGAGCTCTGTTGCTAGGACAATGCTCTGAATGGAAGGCCATTAGTCTGAATGGGTGCTGAGTATTTCTTTCAGCTTTAGTTTCACCTTCTGCCTTGGGTGGTTTTTACTGCCATAGTCATAGAGAGTTTTCCACTGTTTTGTATTAAATGCATAGCAACTTCTATAGCATATGAAGCATGTGGCATTCTTTCTTTATTTAACCTCTTAAATTTGAAACTTTTTTATGTACCTGGAAACGATCCTCTGAATAAAATCTCCCAAATCTTGACTGTTGTCTTTGTGTTCTAGCCAGGTGCTGTTATTTAATAAAAACAAAACAAAACAAAACAAAAAAAAACAATGCTACCTCTAGTGAGTCATGTATGATTAGCACCCATTGGAGGCTCTGGTTGTTTCCATCCTTGACATGACCTAGTGGAAAAAGCAATGACTTTGGAGTCACAAGGCTATGTTTGAATACTAGCTCTTTCATTTGCTAGATGTGTGATTCTGGACAGGTCACTTAACTGCCCCATGCCTCAGTTCCCTCAACTGTAAAATGGTGATAATAGCCCAAATTTCCTAGTTTAAATATTTGTTTTTTTTTCATGTTGTGAAGAACTGATTATATTTCTTTTTTTCACATTAGTGATGTTGTAAGTAAAAATTAAAAGTAAAAATTAAAATCAACAGGAGGAACCATCAGAAAGAGGAAACAAAAGTCAACAGAAGAGAAAAAAATAGCAATTCAAATTCCATAGTCCTTTCTTTGGATGTGGATAGCATTTTCCATCACAAGGCCTTTGGAGATGTCTTAGATCCTTGTATTGCCAGGAAGGGTTAAGTTTATCAATACTAGTCATCGCACAACGTGGCTGTTATTGTATACAACGTTCTCTTCGTTCTGCTCGCTTCACTCAGCATCAGATCATACAAGTCTTTCCAGGTTTTTCTGAAGTCAGCCTGTTCATCATTTCTTATAGCACAATAGTATTCCATTACACTCATATATCACAACTTGCTCAGCCATTCCCCAATTGATGGGCATCCTCTCAATTTCCAATTCTTTGCCACCACAAAAAGAGCTGCTATGAATATTTTTGTACATGTAGGTCCTTTTCCCGTTTGTGCGATCTCTTTGGGATGTAGCCCTAGAAGTGCTATTGCTGGGTCAAAGGGTATGCACATTTTTATAGCCCTTTGGGCATAGTTCCAAATTGCTCTCCAAAATGGTTGGATCATTTCACAACTCCACCAACAATGCATTAGTGTTCCAATTTTCCCACATCTTCTCCAACATTTTTGTAAAAAAAAAAAAAAGTCCTTGTTTAAAACCATGAAGTGCTATTTAAAAGAAAAAGAAAAATGTGTACCCAAACTTCCATCTTTTGGTTTCAGTTCTCTCCTGGGGCCACACAGAACACAGCTAATCCCCCTCCCCATGATAGCCTTTTCAATAGTTGAAGTGTTGTCAGGAAACCCCTAAGTCTTTTCCAAATCCATGTATGACATGGATCTGAGTTCCCTCACCAGACTGATTTAGCACCAGCTAATATTAATAATATTATATGTATATATAAATTATATATATATTTATATATATATAAAATAATATTAAGCACCAGCTTAATACTTAAAATGTCTTTATAATATTTAATACTTAATATAGCTTTATAAGTATGAATCATCATTGTTACAGTATGCATAGCATGAGCTAGACATATTCCTGCCCTCATGGAGATTTTACTTTAGCAAAGAGGGATAAACACTAATACACATTTCAACAGGATAAGAACAGCAATGAAGTACATACAAAATGTTACTTAAAGTATATATGTGTGGGGGCAGCTAGGTGGCACAGTGGATAGAGCTCCAGCCCTGGAGTCAGGAGAACCTGAGTTCAAATCTAGCCTCAGACACATAACACTCTGGGTAAGTCACTTAACCCCAATTGCCTCACAAAAAAAAAAAGAAAAAAAGAATGCTTAAAGTATATATGTGGAGGCCAAGGATGGGGAGGAAGATAGGTTACTGACAGGCAATGAAGGAGAAGAGGTGCTACTAGCTATAGGGACTCATATAAAAGATGGACTTCAAGTTGAGATTTGAAGGAAATTAGAGATTCTAAGAGGTAAAAGTGAGGAGGGAATGTATGCCATGAAAGGGAGAAAATTCAAAAGCATAGAGATGGAAGATGGAATATTGTTATGTTAGGAATAGCAAGAAAGCCAGTTTTCAGGAACAGCTAGGTGGTACAGTGGATAAATCACCGGTCCTGGAGTCGGGAGGACCTGAGTTCAAATCCAGGCTGGAACACGTGACATTTACTAGCTGTGTGACCTGGGCAAGTCACTTAACCCCATTGCCTAGTCAAAAAAACAAAAAACAAGAAAGCCAGTTTTCCTAGACTAAAGAATGTGAGAAGGGGAGTAATATAAAATAAGGTTGAAAAGGTAGGTTGGGAACAGGTTGTAAAGAGTTTTGAATGTGAAACAAAGGATTTTGTATTTGATTCAGGGAGCCACTGGAGTATATCGAGTGGGGATGGAGTGGAATGCTTAGCCAGATCTATGCATTAGGAAAACCACTTTGGAAGTGATGTGGAGGATGAATTGGAGATGGAAGAGGTTATCACTCGGAATAATCTACTCAATGGAGTTGGAAGAAACAATTTAATTGGGTCCTGGACTTATTTATGTTACCTAATCTCAATTGGACTCTTAAAGCCCAAGGCAATCTTTGTATTTTTATCTAACTGATGCCATCACACTCCCCACAAAGGCTATTACAATCCTCTTCTTTTCTCCACAAGCTTTCCAAAAAACTCCCTCCCTCTACTCTCTTAGTTGAGGACCTCATACTTTATTGGGAAAATAGAGGCTATTTGCCACAAATTCTCTCTTTTACCTTTCTCTACTTCTCAAAACCCTTTAATACCACCCCCATTCTTTCCTTCTTTACTCCATTTTCTGATGAAGAGGTGATCCTTCTCATCACCAAAGCCAACCCCTCTATGTGTACCTATCATCCCGTCCTTTCATCTTTCCTCTCATCTTTCCTACCACATTGCCCCAACAATCATCTCCTCCTCTCTAATCTTCGATCTCTCCCAATCTATTGGTTCTTTCAGTGTTACTTATAAAGGCCTATGTATCCACCACCCTAGAAAAATATTTTTTGAAGTTCTCATCCCTTTGAACTTTCATCCTATATCTCTCCTCCTTTTTTTCTGCAAAATTCCCAGAAAAAGCTGGCTAAATTCCTTGCTTCCACTTCCTCTCCTCTAATTCATTTTTCAACCCTTTGCAACTTCGATTCTGATCTCATCACTCAACTGAAACTACTCTCCATAATTACCAATGATCCCTTAATTGCCAAATCTGCTAGCCTTGTTTTAATCTTCATTCTTAATTTCTCTGCAGCATTTGACATTGTTGACTTGCTCAATACTGTCTCCTTTCTGTGTTTTCATGATACTGCTCTCTTTCTCTCTCTCTCTCTCTCTCTCTCTCTCTCTCTCTCTCTCTCTCTCTCTCTCTCTCTCTCTATCTCTCTCTCTATCTCTCTCCCCCCCCCCTCTCTGTTCTCCTCTTACCTTTCTGACTTCTGCTTCTCAGTCTCTTCTGGGGTTCATCATCAATCATATCCTCCCACAAAAAAAACCTGTGGGGTTCCTCTAAGTTGAGGTGACAGTGTTGTTTAGGTTTAGGAAATTCCTCACCAGCAGTTCCCTACACCAATGAAAAATAGGTCCCATTCCATCCATATTTTATATATATTTACTCTCTATGTACATGTTGTCTCTCCCAAAAGAATATAAGCTCCTTGAGAGCAAAGATTCTCGTGCTTTTCTATTTCCAGCCTAGATTTAGCATTGTGCTTTGGACTTAGTAAACGCTTAAATGTCTTTTTTTTTCCATCCATTCATTCCTTCGGACATTCATTCCTTCATTAACTCA